AATATTCCTACGACTTTTGATTACTGAGTTATCGCGGATTAAATAAAAGAATTATTTTGACTTTAATTGCTCATAACTCCATTAAAAATTATCGTATCGTATAATTTAAAAAAGAGATTTTTAAAGCTGAAACTTTACTCTATCAAGATATATTTATATTGTTGGTAAGAAAGTAATTACGGTTTTTACTGATAGAGAGATGTCTTTTAAAAAAACGCGATGACTTTTTACTTAACCTAATATATATATATGCGAATGTTGGAAAGGGAGGGGAGAGAGAGAGAGAGAGAGAGAGAGAGAGAGAGAGAGAGAGATTTTGCATGTAACAAGTGCAAATAATACGTTTGTAATTTTGATGCATTCCAGAAGTTTGTTTAGAATTTGTCCTGTTTCGATGTTGTATAACGGTTGATTCTTCGAAATTAAAAAAAAAATTTTGTGGTTCGATGAATCTCACAGTGAAAGCTTATATCGTGATTGATGCGCCCTCCGTGTTGCACTTTTGAAGCTTATCGCGACTTCTGTCGGTAAATCTATCATTAAGGTAACCGTTATTAGCATGACTTCTAGGACTAGGAAGTTAATTTGGATAATTAATCTCCTTGGATAAGAAAAGGATAATTTGGCTTTCGCAATTTTTCATTTTTATTTAAACACTGCTTGTACTATTCACATTGTTCAATATTTGTCTAATATTTGTCCAATATGAAACGATATTAGTTTTATTAGAAACTGCAATTTTTCTAGGCTATAAAATCGTTTTATATTTAGTATTAAAATTTTATATGGTTCGGTATAATTATAATCATTTTTTAATATCGATATATCTAAATTGTTTTGTTTTGACTGGAAATTTACATTTTTCAGAATTTCTAACTAGCTCAAAAATATTTCTATATTCTGAATAGTAGAACGAAGAATTGCATTAATTGTTATTGTAAAATTAACAATTCAGGAGCATATAACCACCTTCGATGTCAAGAAGTCATATATTCTAATAAACAATTACAATTCGTAAACGTTTCGGTCAACATTTGACCATCCTCAGTACAATTCTAATAAACATTACATTTAAATCTGAAATCTATCAATAGTAAACTTAGTCTTAAAACGCAACAACGCTCGCTTATTCCTACTTATTATGTCTAAAAGTATCGCTTTTTTTAAAAAATATGCAATTTAAACATAATTTTACACAATGTTTGTAGCATTAATATACTAATGTTCTGTTTCTCATATATAATTATTATATGGAATTCAATTTGGTATGATATCTGTTGAAATTAACGTTATGTGGTTGAGATTTCTTCTTGAATTGACCGAATTTGTGTATGACCCCAAGAACAAGTCGAGTTTATAATATTTATGGAACTCTCTCCTGTTCCAACACCCATGATAAGCCGCAAACGGGAGACACGCAAGTGGTCATTTGCGTATCACACTGTACAGCCTCACACAGATATTGGACACTTACACGTTCTTAACAATAGAAAATTTACATTAGAAAAAAAAAATGTTATTGTAAAATTTTGAAATGTAATTTAAAATAACCATATCATTTTTATCCTGGTACTACATATCATTCTGATATGATTATTTCTGCAAGTTCTTCAACATCTGTATCTATAATTCCATCTCTATCTGTAATTCCATCTTTAGAGAAAACAGTTTCAAATTTTGGTTTATTATATTTTCTTTATTATTCATATTTTTTCATTTTTAATGAAACAATCATTAAATACCGTTTTAATGTTTTTATTGAATTGAATGATCGATAATAATTAAGGATGTATCACACATACACGGTTCTATAATATCCCTAGAAAGAAAATTAAATTTGGAAATGTGTTTAATACTTTCTAGGGACTATATATGTAGTATATAAGAATCATATAAGCATTAAGATCCAGCTAGACCTTTGATTTCTATATTTTGTGTCATTTATTTTATAATACATTTCCATGCATTTTTATTAGAGCATAAATTTAAAAAATTTAACTATTATTTATTAAAATAACTTATAATCCAGATAGTAAACGGCCACCAAATTTATTGTATTATTTTTAAATGTGATTTAGAATAATCTAATATCGTATTTTTTTCATAATTTAATTATTATTTTGAAAAAATATATAAAGCATTCTAATGAACGCTACAAGTAACGTCGAAAAATATGATGTAATAATAATAGTAATTATTATTAACTTGCACTTCTTAATTAATTTGTGCATTTACTTTAAATTTCATGTTATATATACTTATTTGAATAAATAATCAGACGTGATGTAATTTGTAATTAATATTTAATACGTGAATTGAAAACAAATATCTAAAGCTTTCAAAAACGTGACTGATTCGTATAATATATCTTCGAAACTTACGAAAATCTTCTTTATGTCGGAGTATGTCCTTGGAAGATTACAAAAGGTTGCACTGGAAGTCCATACTTTCTATGGACTTTTAGTGCATAGAATTTGTTCAATTTTCTTCTTTTTAGTTTCTATAATAGTGGGAATATTAGCAGGTGTCTAAAATGAGAAAATTTTTTTTTTCAGATGTTAAAATTATTAATAATCATTAATCAGTATTCGTTACAATTTGTAAAATTAATATACTTTAATTAATATACCTTAATTAATATATCTTGTACAATAACTCCCAGTTTTATCCTAGTTTTAAGGCAATAATGAAAACAATAAGTACAGCATTAAGTAGCGTATAGAATCTGCAATGATGCCATGTATATAAATGCATATAATATTGAAGAAATCAAGAAATACTGCTTAGTAAATCGCAATACTTGTTAGCGAATAAGTATTATAATTATTAAAATAATTTATCTATAGTAACATAATACAAATAATGTTACTAACCTCTCTCTCTCCTCTCTCTCTTTCAATATTTTTTGTCTTTTTATGATCGCTTTGGGATTTGTTAATGAGTAATAATTTCTCAAACACATTTTTGAAATTTAAAAATATTCGCGACCGTAATTATTTGGAAACTTTTTCTTAAAATTATTATTTTAATCTAAATAAATTATTTATAAATAACCAACTACAATGTAAATTTATAAGTAAGTTTAATATACATCATAGTTATTATTAAAAATTCTTTCGAATGTTTTATAATTGGACAATTTAAAAGTATTTCCTTTAGGTTTTTATTTGAAAGAAATATGTTTTGTTTAATAGAAAAAGTCGCTTCCCACTTTCGTATATAACTTTCCATTATTTTGCAGCCATATAAAATCTGCGTTGTTTAGCTTTATAATGAAATAAATGAAATTGTTTTAACAGATTTTCAGCAAGAAAAAACTTCAAATACTTATAAAATTTTTCCTATTATAATAACTACAATATACTAGAATATTACTTTGTAATATTATCATTTTGATAAATAGTTATTCATTAAATAAATTTTTTGTCAAAAGTTGAATATTAGTAATCATCGATGATACATGGCGTGAAACTGCACCTGAGATTTCCTCATTCTTCTAACAAGATTCTTTCCTAAGTTGTCAACGTGATAGAATTCCAGCAGTCCGTAGAAATGTAATTTTATTTTTATACTTGTTGACTAATTTACCTCTGGCCACTCTACATCTATTATCTTTTGCCTGAGTTGCATTTTCTTATAGGTGGAATATAATAAATTTCTTTTACTTCCTTAGGGAAAACTTTTATTATATTATCCGATATATTATCCAAATTGTCACTTGTAAGATGGTTAGAAAAATTAGAATTGTACAAATATAACATAGTACGAAAAAAGTACAGTATAATATATAAAAATGATATTTTACATCTGGGATTTTAGTAATTGAATTTTTTAATGTCTATATTAATATAACAATCAGTAAAAAGCAATGCTCATACTGGAAGCTGGATTTTAAGTGCTTTAAATAATTTCATGTAAATTTATATGCGCGTAGCTTAGCGTCGAGATACTACCAGTGTCTTCAGATACATCTCTTCAAATTATGGGTTGAAATAATTTTTTGGACTTATAAACGCAACTGAATTACCATAGCACAGAATGTCATTATAATTACGGTGCGATATTGCTGTTACAGCTTTAAGACTACGTTCCAAGATGAACAAGTAATCGTAACTTTTTTGCTGAACTAGAAAATACATGTAAATTCATATAGAAATATTATCAAACACTGAAATCCAGCTTTGACTGAATAAAAATATTTTCATTTGTTTGTGTTAGAATAATTACGATTCTTCTACGATAAGGAAAGCCGTAACTTTTCCAGACGACTTCTGGGATACATATATGTGAAACGATTCGCGTAACTTAAGCATGATATCACGCTGTCACTGTGTATAAGAGATTTCTCTTTATTTCTAGGTAAGTAAAGAAGAACTCGCGAAATTAGTGCAGAGTTTTGAAGAGCAAGACATCCTGACGTCGTCCGGGGTTACCTTAGCTGGCAATAGGTACATCTACTTGTCGGGCACGGACCGTGTGATAAGGGCAAAACTCGGCAAAGTCGGCGTCCACTGCATGAAGACGACGCAAGCCGTAGTTGTCTCTCTGTACGAGGACCCCATACAACCACAGCAAGCCGCATCTGTCGTTGAAAAACTGGGCGAATACCTCGTGTCCTGCGGCTATTAGGTCAGTATGTGACAACAACTTTCAGCTTGCTCAGCTTGAAGTAATCGTCGCCATCGCGAAGAGTTAGCTCTTTATTATAGGAACTCAAAGCGGGTGTAGAGTGAAACTCCTTATCAGTTAGCAAATTCTCTCTTTCCTACGAATTTTGAGAGATATTTATTTTTATATATATTTTATATTATAAAGGAATTTGATTTTGCCTTTCATGAAGGCGCGAAAAGATAAACCGCATATTATTGCATTTCCTTTAAATTTATCCCTAGCAGTCTTTTTCAACCATTCATAAATATAAACTTTTGATCTTGCTCTTTTTATGCGCACAGCATACGATAAAATTTAATTAGTTCCGAAAACACAAACGAATTGAAGTAAGATGTATGTACATATCTTATTTCATTATTAATAATCAATTGCCGTTGATATATTATAATCTGCAGACGATCGAATTTTTTTAAGCACACTTAAAATAATTTAAATATATTTAAGTATCGAATATTCGAAACGGAAATTCTTAAAAATTTTGAAAATTTGAGTTTTGAATTTCTAGATAATTTTTGCATCGAAAATTTCTGAATATCTGGAACGTTTAAAATTGTTAAAAATGAAATTGTTAGAAATGAAATGAGTAAAATCAATTAACAAAGTAACAGAAGCGCCACTTGCTGTCAGTTAGATGTTGAAATAATACATCTATTGTAATATATACGAGGTATCTTGCCATTATCGCACTTCCTCTTAAAAGCGTATTTTTAAAGTAATTTAGAGATGAAAATCTGAATACAAAAATGTCGAGACTATAATAGTTTTAATTGATTAACAATTAAAGTTTATTAATTACAGAATTGACATTTCGCTCAGGCATGATGATATGACAAATAGTAAAGATGCTATCACGGAGGGTCCTATTAACTACATTGAGATTATAATATCAATATGTAATGATATTTTTTACTATTAAGAAATTGTTTTTGCTTCTATAGAACATATTTGTACATTACATATATGTAATTAATTATATTGGAACATATCACAAAGTATTAATTCATTAGCGAGATATTAAATATGAAATGTCAGCTGCCAGGATAAATTTATAACTTATATCCTTATTTGCCTTGCATGATAAATATTTTTGTGATAATATTGGAGATAAATAGATGATTTTTGACATGAAAAGAATTAAATATGTTGGAGTAAGGTTAAAACATGTCAAATTCTTATTTAATTCTAATACACTTATATCAAATTATCGATATGCACATTTTTAATAATTACTCTATTAAAATATTGAAAAAAATTAAGAATATAAAAATTAACGTAGATTACATCAAAATACATCGTTAAAATTCACGAAGCTAAATCGATATATATATACACCATTCTTACTAATAATTAAAATATGGAAGACCGGGGCACCACATGAATCATAGGATATCATGAGTCATTGGATGCTTTCAAAGTTCAAAGCTGTTAGCCTGCTCGCCGAGCGATTGAACGTGATTGGTTGGATCTATAAGTAATAACCAATCATATTCTTGGCAAACAGGTTAGCCGCTTTGTCGACTTGAACGCGCCCGTTGACTATTTAGAGTAATTGGAGAATTTAGGTTAGTATATCCTAACGTACGATTGTTACCTGGTTGCACATACTATATATCTAGATATGGCGATTCACTTCTATCTTATCTTTGCATACACATGCCATTAAATATTTTCGTGCCAAAATAAGTTATCACTCAAAATGTTACTCGAACTTTGTATTTATCGTGACCCTCGCTTTGCTTTGCAAAGTGTACGCAAAGCGAGGGCCGTTCCACACTAAAATATGAGTTAGGTTAGATTTTTTGAAGGGGGGGGGAGAGATTTTCGCCTCTCTCCCCCCCTGTGAGGCAGCATATAATGTCTCCACGCATATATTTTACAATTCGAAGCGAAAGGGAAAGGAGAGTGTAAGGTTCTTAATATTGTATATAGCAGAAATAAGATGTTATTTTTTAAACTTTTTTTGTTTATAACTTTTTAACAAGTAATGAACGACAGTTAAAACCTGTTGGAGGTCACTCAGGATTATGACCTTGACAGTGTACGAGGTCTGTTCAAAAAGTATCGCGAATTTTGAATTTCCGCGGGTTACGTATATTCGATTTTCAATTTTTTGTGGCGTTATGTTGGTACTCATGTCTCTCACTTATGCCGACAAGTTCGGCCATTTTGAATGTTTAGTTAATTTTTGACAGCTGCTTTGCTTGCACGTGTTTTAGCTCGTCTTCGATTTTTGCCTATTCCAAAAAATGGATCAAAGAATCTGTATCAAATTTTGTGTGAAAAACAAAATTAAGTGCGCGGACGCATTCCGAATGTTGACTGTGGCATATGGTGAAGCTACCTTGGA